GGGGGGGGTTTAAAAATAGATGAGAGAAAAATGGATCTGGAGAAGGAACCTGGATACTGTTCACGGACACCTGGGTGGTTTAGAAACTGCCCAGTTTAAAAATGGATATGGTTCTAAGAGATCAACAGCTTTTGAAAATAATTAGTTGAGTTGTTTTGTATTTCAAAGAACATGGTTTTGGCAACTCTCTGCTTGAGCTTCAGATAAGGTAAAATGTCTGTTTTTGTTGAGTAGTGCCTCAACCTTTTTTGCTTGTCACCAATTCACACATATGCCCAAATGTTTCCAGATGCACAATCTTGGAAATAGGTGGATATTTGTACCTCACCTTGTACCTGCACTTTTATCTCAGAAATTTGTATTTGTAATAGATGCCATTGCATTGAAACCTGGTAGTGTGATACGACATCCAGGCCATTTCCTGAACTGAGCTTTTGCACCCCAGTTAGAGGTCCACTCTTCATTAGAATTTGTGTTATAGGTCTGTTCCTCATCTTGCTGTATATGCAACTAGATTTAGCAAACAAAGTTTAACACTAATTGAGTTCATATAAGAATGATTGAGAATGAAGATAAATCAACATTTTAATTTTAGATCTGCATTTCTAAATTGTCAAGGTTTTTCATAACCATGCTTCTAAAGTGTTTTGCTTTTTTTGTGCAAATACCTAAATATCTCTTAGTGATCATTCATCGTTTCAAAGGATTCAGTGCCACTGCTATCTAACACATTTTAAACCACTTGGGCCTATTTCTAACTTGAGAACCCGAGTCCCGGGACATTTTTTTGTTACATTTTAGAGGTGTCTTGGTTCCAAACATTATGCCTTTTGGGATTTGTAGCTTGCTTTTACACATTATATTTTTTCCAGGACATATAGGGCTTCAATTTTGTAGCAAATTGGTAAAAATATATTTTTATTTCTTAGGCCTTTTTGGGAACAAATAATGGAAAAATTTGAAAGAAAAATATTGGTGTAATTTTCCCACCCAACATTTAACACACTATTTATTCATCCCCATATATTTTAACCCCAAAAATAACTGATTTCTAACATAGAGACATGGTAAAGCTAAAAATTAAAGTATGTTTGCGTTGTATTTTAGGAAACCTTTATTCTCCTTTCAATGCTACATTGCGACAAATGCAAAAAAATAAAAAATCCTAACTTTACGTTTGCGTAAAGTTAGGATTGCAACGACGCAAAGTAGCTAGCTCTATGGTAACCTTTTGCAGCATGAATTAACTCGATGGTTTGCAATTGTTATCTATTCCAGATGACATTGCATTAATATATGTGAACATTTCATATTCACACAATGAACAGAAATGTAATCCAGATATATATTTATATATATTATATCATATTGAATAAAGGCTTAGTACCACATTTCTGACAGTATAGACTTTAATTGTCCAAATTAAAGAGTAGCCGACAGTGTCTAACAACAAGTGACTCTACGAGTGGGCAGAGCCTGATGGAGATGCTCAGCATTCCCAACCCCACTGTCGGCATTACTGCTTGGTAAAGAAACTGTTGGCTGCATAGCCAATAGCCAGCCTGCTATTGGCCATGAAATCTACCTGCTGTCAATGAGCAGCAGAGCATATCTAATGGAGAACTAGTGCCTCAGCATCCCCATCAAACTCCACCCACTGTATAGTAGTCCTTGGTCGCTTCACCTGTTAGCGTGACAGACGTAGCAGCCAGGCAGGGATCAGGCTTAGTGTAACTGAGCTGCGCTGGGTATGGGTATTCCGGTCTCAGTGTGCCTCTGCATCACAAATGGCGGGGCTTGCACCAAATTTATTTGCCTGTTACCCACAGGCGCATGAACCCCAGGCAAATGCATTTATTGGATGCGTGACAGAATTCTAAAGAGTGCCGTAGACACTTCTTATGAATTCCCCCCACGGTCTCTCAATTTCACTTGCAGGTAGAGTCTTCTGGGTCTGTGATCTGTACATTTGCAGTCAGTTTTCCAAAGCTTTGTTGTTACTGTTTTATACTTCCACTAGCTTGCCATTACAATGCATAATGCAGTAAAGCATTTCACAGCTTAACCAAACTTAAAATAAAAGCACACCTTCCTAAACTGATGGAAAAATCAGGATCCGTGAATGGAGAAAACTACCCATCAGCCGCTGCGGCAGTTTTCTATTAACAGACTGTAGGCAAAAAATATTTTCATTTCATTTAGTAAACATATTTAAAAACAGTTGAAAATAAGTTACCTGCGCATTATTAAAGGAGAACTATGAGGTGAGTGCTTTTCACTCACCTCATAGTTCTAGCCGACCTGTGACAATGAGACTGTCACAGGTCGGCTCAGTAGATCGGGAGGTGAGCGTACACATACCAGCGTTCGCTCACTTCTCGATCCTGTCATGGCTCTCTGCCGTGACAGGGGAGGGGCTGGATTCCCCCCTCCCCGCTCCGATCCTCCAGCGCTGACTGGCGGAACGGACGGGGGAGGGGGCGGGTACAGCAGTAGCTCGCGGTATACTGTGCTTAGGGTGACGGGAGGATGCTAGTTTGTGTCCTCCCGTTACCCTAAGGAGAACTATGGGGGAAAGCCCTAACACCATAGTTCTCCTTTTAATGGTACCAAATAATAGTAGTCAGTATATCTTTGCACATACAAAATGCAATGTCACCTTGATTGTGCAGTACCTCCACTTTCCTTTGTTTCTTCAATTTCTAATATTTTTTAACACATTAAAAAAGTTGTACTTGTATAAGAATGTTTAATTCATAAAGCGGTACTCTGGGAAATAAATTTGAATTTCACTGTATTTATATTTTTTGTTCATGTTTGTTTAGAGATGATCTAAAAATGATTTTCTTTATTTCAACCACAGAACCCTAAAGATTGCAGTAAGGCCAAGAAACTAGTATGTAACATCAACAAGGGCTGTGGATATGGTTGCCAATTACACCATGTTGTCTACTGTTTCATGATTGCTTTTGGCACCCAGAGAACTCTAATCTTGGAGTCACAGAGCTGGAGATATGCGACAGGCGGATGGGAAACAGTCTTTAAGCCAGTTAGCAACACATGTACAGATAGAGCTGGCACCTCTACAGGGCATTGGTCAGGTGAGTCCATTTGCAGTCCCTTTAAATTTTGAAAACCGTGTAATTTTCTGCATTTGTACAAACCTTTAATTGTGGTAGTTCTGACAGGCGTTTTGTCTAACTACCTCAAATGTTTTTTGTAACAGTAATGTAACCATTTTATTCTGATTTAAGAATGGTTTTCCATACTGTTGACTTAAGTAGTTTCCCAGTGATCTTTGGCATTATAAACTATGTAACATGTTTTAGCATTCTCCTCCTAAAGTGAATTAGATTTAATGTAACCAGCAGTTCCCACTCACCTCCTGCAACCAGCTGTGCATCCTACTTCAGTGGGGACTGTGCTATGACTTTGCCTGGTTGCCATCTGCCATAACTTGTTTATGGATTATGCTCTTGCTTTTCTACTTGACACCCTTTAGTCAACTACCTGCTTGTTAAATATTGCTTGTAGGACAAATATGGGGCAAAGACCAGGGGACTTTTACTCAGTGAAACTCATAAATTCTTGCGCAGGTTCCTGGTGATGTCTGGATCAACCTTTTGTCTGACCTCCGGCAACCCCTGAGTTCAGTATCATGAAGCTGAACAAGGACAGATAAGATAATTCAGGTACTCGGGGCATATCTGTCTATTTGGATCAGCTCCAAGCTTCTGCACTTATTGCAAAGATCATAACTTGCACAGTAGTTCATGCCACAGCATCCAGACATCAAAACATATGCATCCACTGTTATAGCTATAAAGGGAAACCAGAAAATGTCCTTTCAGTCCAAGACTGAATAGCTTATTTCATATATTTGCTGTCCGAGTGGCTCATGTCTGTTCCTCCTGCTATAGTTACCTGTTAACATTCCTGGATAGTTTTAAGCAGGTTTTCAATTAGCCTGGCTGTTTGTTTGTTTTTCAGCTTCCTCTCAAATCTCAACAAATTTGCAAAAACGCTTGAATCTACTTACCCTATATTGTATTATCAAACACATCCAGAATACAGAACATATGATATAAAATGCATGGAAAAGCAGGTAGAACAGATGTATACCAAAAGGTCTGGAGTATGTAATTCCAGATAAAGTGGATAAATATTTATTTTGCCACTTGGCATTTGAAATGACTATTTGTGGAAAAGGCAGTGAAGATATAATACACTGAAGCAAGAGCATATGCTGTAAACTGGCAGAGATTGGGGAGAGTGCAGCCTTTGGTCAGAACTAAATGAAAGAAATGGACAAGGCAGGATGACTTTAAGGTCATCTTGTAGCACAGGCTAAGCAGTTCTAAGCAGGTGGCACACTGGTGAACAACATGAACATGAAACAGGAAGTTGAAAGTACAAACATGCCCACAAAAACTAGCAGAAACTTTTTGCGCTGGTCTGTTGATGAGAGTACAGAATTTATACTTTCTTCCAAGGAGGGATGTTAATGGGCATGATTCAAAACTGAGAGTTTTGTGTATCCTTAGGCCAACTTGGGTGAACTCGGTTCGGTGACATCAGAAGCACATTGGAGGATGCTTTTTGCTGCAGTTCATAGTATTAGTCAAAAGATGGTGCAGGAGCATGCTGAGCAGTTTGTTTTAGACTGGATGTCCAGAGACATTTTGGAATTACAAATGCATTCGTAATGATGCCATATCATTTTCATGTCAGCAGCTTTTTGTTGAGATCCATCATCTGTGCCTGACTGACGTTTTATGATTACCCATTTGCCCGCAAAACGACTACATTTTGAGCTTTCCTAATTACTACAGCATGACCTCCTTTACCTAAAGAACTCTACAGAAATTGTATAGTGGCCTCAAACAGGTAATATCAATGTGTTTATTCCTAGACATTGATATCTGATGTCATAGAGTTCCTTCCTGCTATGCAAATTCCCTCTTTTTCAGGAGCTTTCAGAACCTGCTGTCATTTTGACAGCCAATGTTTCTATTTCAGCGCTAATCTGCAGGAACAATTCTGCCTCATTCACACGTACAGCTCTGTGCGCGGCCGTATTGGGCAGCTCCTGGGAAGGACAGGTGCTGCGTGTGATTAGTACACAGGCCCTGTTCTTCTCTATGGGAGTATGCGGCCATACACCCCCCTACTCTCACCTCAAGTGCAGGCCCGTATGGGTGCTGGTGTCCCGGCTCGGACGCAGACAGGATCCATCCTGTCAGTGTACGAGTACACTCACCCGCACGGACGTGCAGGGCGGGTGAGCGTAGGGCGGCGTATGGCCGCGTAGTCCCATAGAGAAGGACAGGGGCTGCGTACTAATCACACGCAGCACCTGTCCTTCCTGGGAGCTGCCAATACGACCATGCACGGAGCTGTACGTGCCGGCCGATTCTCGTGTGCATGTCTAGTTGAGTGTCCACAATCTTGTGGTTGAATTAGGTCACTTTCAGCCTCAAAAGTTGCATTTTTGGTCAGTCTCAGAAGACATGTAGTAAGTCGTGCTGAGATGGGGTAAATTGAAGCCCAAGATTGGCTTCCCATCATTGGAGATATGGCAGTGGGGGACACTTGACTGGGGTGTTGAGAAGTCTGACTAGTTCAGAAAGTTGCCTAACTTAAAGCCTTTTTCTACCTTTTGCTGAGTTTTTTTTTTTATATATGCCAGCAATGTACACCAGGTGTACATGAAGCAGGCAAATGCAGTTGCTGTATACGAACACAAAAACGTAACATTTTTTGTTAGCTTTCCTCTTCATCTCCTCATCGAAATGGCTGCAATTGTGTTCTGCAAGTAATGTGTGTATAGTACAAGTGACCTCTCCACGCACCCCCACTCCCTATCATTAGTACTCAATGTGGCAACTCCCCCTCCCCAGACAGTGTATTGTGTGCAAAGGCAGAGCTGCTGTTTACTGATCGTGTTACATGAATAACAGGGAGCGGGAGAGCTGTTTACAGCCTAATTACCGTCCGACCCTGATGTCTGATTTTCCTATGAAGAAAATTTAGAATTTTTAGGCTTCAGGCCTAATAAAAACTTAATAAAAAATATTGTAGAAAGTCTGCAATGTGAGCCATGAAAATGTGCACGCATATACATCATCACTGCACGTCTACATTACCACAATAAATGCTAATCACTTACAAAGGGGGAAATTGACTTTGTCTCCTCTTGGCACATTTCCATAGCTTCCCAGTGGTCTAAAGAAAGTTTGATATTTTGCAATATGCAAATTAGTCAAACATTTTTGGTCACTAGTAAAGTGAAGTGGTCTCATTCGTGTGGTGGTCGCTAAGTCAAGTAATCTCGATCCTCCGAGCCCTGATCTGATGTGGGAGTTTCCTGCAACTGCCGACGAGGATGAGGTGAACGTCAAAATCTCTGCCATTGTTTGACTAGGCATGATGGCTTTCATTATAAATCTGGTCAAGTGGTTTAGCCAAGATAGCCAGGAACGTTTAGGCTATATCCATGGGATACCTTGTGTAGCAGGTCATCAAAAGTGTCTTTCTCTAGGTGAACCCTTAGTTTATTTTGAACGTTGCAGGACCAGTCAGTTACCAGGGAGATAGGAGGCAGTATAAAGAACTTTGGGTGTGGTAAGCCGATGCCTCCTGACGCTTTTTATCTGGTTAGTGTTGCAGTTTTTGATCTGTTCTTTAGCCTAGATAAAGGTAATGAAAATAGAATGCATTATTTTAAGGTAGGCAGTAGGTATTTCTATTGGTAACATTTGTTGACTTCATGGTCCTAGACTTTGAGGTCCTCTAGTATCGATTTCTGTAATGGGATGAAATTTAATTCATATAGCTTGGAGAGACCTGCCAGGATTGATGTACCCACATACCGTGTATATGTGTGTGTATATGTGTGTGTATATGTATGTATATATAATATTTTGTTTATTTGGGTGTTCTGATCACCCAGCTCTCTCAGCCAGAGGGGCTAAGAGGTGTCAGGAAGCAAGGGTTTGTCTGGGTTCTGCTTGGGGTACTGGAACTGGGAGATTTCAAAGTGATTCAGGAGGGATGAGATCTCCAGACACTAGGTCCAGGCTTTAGCAGTGACCAGCACCCGAGGTGTGCACAGCCCTTAAGGAAAGGATGCTGGCTAGGACATTAGCTCCTGCTGGGAAATAGGAACAGACCGTGTTCTGTGGTCAGAAGGAGGCCCCCAGAAGTCAGAGAGCAGTCAGGTGAGCTCCTGCTGGGATAGGATTGGGCGGTGTTCAGGGGTCATTCCTCCAGAATAAATTCCCCCAGAATTTAAACTGGAGTCAGGTGGTGTGTGCTGGAGGCACACAGACAGCCAGGGAGGCTGGGAGAGAAATGGTGAGGAGAGGAGTTTTTTGTTTTGTTTTATATCAACTCCAACCATTGATATTATTTTTTTCCCCCAGGTGAAATGGTTTATCATTTCTTACTTAAAGGAGGAGGATTATCATCCTTGGCAGTGAAACTTAAGTCTAGGCCTTAATGTCCTTAATATAATTTTCTTTACTATTTAAAACTGAACTTTTTGCACTCAATTCCCCCACTAATCACTTTGAATTAAGCAAAAAACTAAAACCTCTATTTACTTATCTAAATCTGTGACACACTGGGTCTTAAATCTTCTATTGTCTAACTTAAAGAGGAGGAAGGTCCTTCTTTGAGTGGCAATGTCAGTGCCTGGATGACGTGAGCACTTCTATTCTTTTTCTAACGGTCGGGTCCTCTCAGGGTTCTTAAGACTAAAGCAACGTGATGTCACAAATAGGGGATCAGTGAGTGTGGGCAAACACCGCAAAGCTATATACAGCAGGGATTGCCCTAATAGAGCTTTGATACAATTTTCTAGGGTTCATCCTGGTTCTTTGTCACAACTCCAAATAATGTTTTGAGGGCTTGGACCTTGACATCTTTCGTATATAAATAAACCTGATGTTTATCGTCCTGGCTCCCAAGCAGGAAGAAAAAAAGGCGTTTTATTCCCATGTCTTCATTTTGTGTGGAAAGACATCAAGAAATTTCCTAGACGTAATGCCTCTTACCATATCTACCAAATACGGGAAGTTCCGATGGACTTTATTTTTTC